TTGTATTCTTGAAAGAAAATTCAATAAATATTTTCCTTATAAAAATATGATAAATATGTTTAATTTGTTGCAATAAATTAAAAAAAAAATAAGCAAGAACACTATATTTTTTTTTATTAAAAAAAAAACTTTAATTCTAATTCTCATTTTCAACAAAAAAATTTTCACGTCAATATATCAGGTTTTTAAGGTGTTACATGGGTTTGCTCGGGTTAAAAAACAGMATTTTCTTACATTTTTGTTCTTATATAAAAAGTTAAATATTTTATTGAGATTTTTTGTTACAAACATTTAACAAATATTTCTGAAATTTTTGGAAAAAAAATATGTTAAACTCGGTCATTGCAACGCTATTTCCGACCACCGGAAAAAATGCCCCCGCGTTAGCAATATAATTCCTTACAGGATCATCTAATGTGAAAAACATACCTGCTTTAGTTAAAAGCTTAACTTAGACGAAAGAAAAAACTGACAATTGGATTTTTGGTAGACATTTTTACAAAAAAAAATGTAAATTTCAGCGAAAATTTCGTGACCTTTTTTTTCAATTAGTTGTAATCGAAAAAAAAAAAATTCATCGTTAAAGTCTTTAAGAATAGTATCTAAAAGGCATGTGTAAACTTTCATGAAGATCAGTTAAGTAGTTCTCGAGAAATCTTGCCAACCGACTTCAAAAACACAGTTTCGAGAAAAACGCGCTTCTCAAGGCCATATCACCGAAACTATTACTCGGATCAACTAGGACAATATTCTAAAGATGTTGTAACACAATAAATAAATGCCTCCCTTATTATTAGATATATGTATATGCGGATAATACCGCGTTAAACTTTCAAAAATATAATAGTGTATGGAGCTTACCTGATTTTGGCCTATTATATATCAGTTTTCATGTTCAAATCCAAGCCATTCTGCATTAACAACATCACCGTACCTCTTCTCATTCGCTTCAACTAATTTTTCTTACATTTTCTTCTGCGTAGGTTTAATTTTGTTAATTAACACTAAACGCATATAAAACTTCTTTAGAAAGACAAATTTTACTGAAATTCACGATTTAATGACCCGGCACTTCAACGCAACTTACATTCGCGTACGAATAAACGGAACTGACGGAAGACGATTAATCTGGCGGCGGACATCTTTTTACCCACAGAGTTGCAGTTAATAGCATGGACTAAATTTTAGGTAAAAAAGTAAGACATGAAACGAAAGAAAATATTTAAAAAGGGGTTTTATTAAAATAATTATTACCATCTACATATATTAAAAACAAAAAAAAAAAAAAAAAATAGTAAATTAGTTTTCAAATATTTAATTCTGCTGAATAAATATAATTACACTTTTTTCACATTTTAAATGTATTTATTTATTAGTATGAAATAAGTTTTGGGCAAAAAAGTAAGACATGAAAAGAAAGAAAATAGTTAAAAAATTTTTAGAAAATATTTTTGTCATTATTATTTAAAAGAATTAGTAAAATGAAATACTTAATTATATATAAAAAAACGTACATTTTTGTACCATTATTAAAAATATTAAACAATTATAATGAAATAAAAAGCTGAAAACTGAATTTTTGATTTAATATTTTTAAGTTAAATTTATAACACATAGCAATATAAATATTTTTATTTATTTATATTTTTAATAATGCAAATAAGTACTTCTACCTTTTTTAAATAACCACTTTTCATAGTTTATTTCCCCCACTTACGCAGTAGTGTAACAGTAAATACACTTGTCAAACTTCCGCTGACATTTAAATTTTTTGTCTTTTCCCTATTCGTTATATGCATATTTTAGTTGCTAAGGAGCAGAGAATCTGGATTACATTCTATTGTAATATTCTTCTTCTATACATTCTATGAAAGAAGTATTCTTGAAATAGTTTAAGTAATAAATGTTAAGCTCATTTGATTTTATATTGAAATAAGGCGTAAAAGATGCTCGCTTATTGTTATTGTAGTGCTCTAATGATAAGTGAGAAATGTGCAGCAAGCAGCGCTGCAAGGCTACATGCGGCGCAGGCTGCGCAATTGGCTTTGCAATGGCAGGAAGCGATCATTGAATAAATTTGCGTTGTCGGCAAGGAATAGTCGCTCGAGAATAGTTAATTTTATTTTGTTATCAAAATCTTAAGCAGTCCTTATTCATTTACAAGTTTCTTATATACATTTCAATTAGTACATATGTACGTGTGTGCATACATAAAATGGTAAAATTTGCAAAAGGCTCACCTGTTCTCAGCCCAAAAGTATACCGCAGTCTTCTTCGTTTCTTGTGCTTCAAATAAACCTGCATTAACGGCGAAAGTATTTTATGTGAGTAACGCAGGTTTTTTAGCTATTTGCTTCAACTAGCGTTTCTTTCACTTGCACATTTTTATTTTCACAAAATAACACTAAAAGCACATATCCCGCACAAACTTTTTGCATAATTTCGATAAAACACTATTTCCACTTTTGATTTCACTATAAAACACTTTACTTACACAAATTACTTTAGAGAAATTCACGATTTAATTACGAGGCACTTCAACGCAACTTACACTCGCGCACGAATAAACGGAACTGACAGAGGACGATTAGAATGGCGGCGGACACATGATTAACCACAGAGTTGCAAGCATGATGTAGTTATTTCATAAATAATAGCAACTACATAAGGAGTAAAATAAAGGTTTAAAAGAACAAGTTTAATTAATATAAATTTGATTGCATGTATAATTTAATTAAAAAATTTAAATATTTGAATTTCATTTTTATATTTTATTTGTATTTTTAAATATTGAAATTTGATAAAAAATTCTGATATTAAGGAGAACTTACAAATTCCGAATACTTTAAATATTTATTCTTAAATTAAATAAATAGGTATCATAATATCAATTTATTTTTTATTTAATGATGAAAACTATTTTTATATTAATATACCAAGTTTTACCTACTACCTGCACTACCGCAACCCTAACTTTGCTTGTCAAACTTCCGCTGACATTTCTATTTCTTTAGGTCTGTTTCCACTTCCTTATGTTCAAATTCTTGCTGATTACGAACAGGGGAAATTTCAAATGTAAATTATGAGGCGATATTACAGGAATTGGTTCGTTTTAGTTATAAGTGAAAATATTAATGAGTGTTCTATAAAATTAAGGTATAAACATGGGGGATCGTTGTTACTCAAGTCTTCAAATTAGGAGCGAGCAAATGTGAAGCAAGCAGCGCTGCAAGGTTCAACGTGTCGCAGTCAGCGCAGTGAGTTTTGCAATGAAAGGTAATGATTATAAGGTGTTAAAATTTACAAAAAGCTTACCCGAATTCAGCTCAAAAGTATACCCCAGTGCTCACCCTGAATTCCAATTAGCTCTGCATTGCCGGCTGCTTTATTCGAAGCGTGCAAAATATTGCTTTTTGTTACTTATTTGCTTCTGCTAGCCTTTCTTCTGCATGCACATTTTTATTTTGGTAAAATAACCCTCAACACACACTTCTTTCATAAACTTTTTATATGATTTCGATAACACAGAACTTAAAGTTTCGATTTCACTATAAAACACTTCATTTATAAAAATTATATTAAATAAATTCACGATTTAACTACGCGACCCTTCAACGCAACTTACGCTCGCGCACGAATAAACGGAACTGACGGAAGACGATTAATATGGCGGCGGACATATGACTACACACAGGGTTGCATTCATGATGCAAGTATTTAATTAATAGTATTCCGAAATAATAGTATTAAAGTATTTAATTAATAATATTAAATATACATACATACATACATACATACATACATACGGACATACATTATATGACAAAATTTTGTTATTGTTGTTATTTTTATTCGCAATATTATCATTTCGTTTGTAAAGGAAAATATTTTTTTTTAAATTAATATTTTAATATATGTATCTGTATAGTTTAAAAATTCAAAAATCTTTAGATGCTTTCTTTACAAATTGATGAAATAAGCATTTTGTAGGTAGAAATTTTTATATATCCAAATAAATTTGTTTTTTTTTAAATAAAAATGTATTTTTTTAAAAAACAAAAATGAGTGAATAATACAATAAATACATTAATACAAACAGCTGATGTGTTTTGGAAAGCAATTCGAGTTTAAAGTTCGGTCAAAGTAACTGAAACCTATATTACGAGCACATAACACATTGGCCGATCATTTGGAAACGATAACTTTCTTTAACTAATCGAAAAAAAAAAAAAAAATAAGAAATCGGATCTGAACCAATTTGTCGTATATTATAGCATTGCCTTGGATAATAATACATACCAAATTTTGTGAAGAAATCTTGTTAAACAAAGGACACTTGATTGACCTCTAATGCACCTGCAGGCAATTCCAGAGTCAAAATCTACGTAGACAGTCGAGCAGCAATTAAGGCAGTAATCTCGCTTATCGGTCTTAATCGGTCTTTGAAAGCAGAGTAGCAGTGAAAAGTGTTACCAGAAGCAACCAACTTCACTTCTACTAGGTGCCAGGCCACAAAGGTAACGAGGGCAATGAAATAGTGGACTATGATCTGGACAGCTTGGAGTATGATACACTGTAGGATGTATCGATAGTGAGGACACAGAGAGTATTTAAATTCGCATTAAGCTTAAGGGCGCAAAGAACCAAAAGTGGTCTATGCGCGACTCAGTGGCGTACCAGATTAACCTAACTTAACACAACCCCATCAAATAAAAGTAGTACATACAATGACAGCGTTATATGCCAATAGTGGCCCCACATCGATAGTTACGACAAATTAGCAGTTTCTTGAGGCAAAGGACGTGTAATAAATTTTAGATCGATATCTCAAAAACTTGGCAACTATTTAGCGTATATACAAGCACATGACGGCCATTGCTCGTCACTTGCATTATATGCTCTATATGACCTCCGACGTTTCTTCCTCGGTATAACAAATTTAGTGGCAAACTTAGTATACCCTGGGTATAAATTATAATTTAAAAATATATAGGAAAATAAGGAGTAGAGCTCCCTTAATACTTGAGTATTTAATAGTTTAATTATACAGGATTATATTTACCCAAAACCATATATACATATGTACATTGAAAAATATTTAAGTAATTTTTTTTTATAATTCAAAATTTGATATTTGTATATATCTACATATTCATAAAATTACATACATTTTTTATAATGTGAAATTTCAATTACTTATTATTTTTCAATATAAAATTTACAAAAAAAAAAAAATATTTTATACTCCTTTTTTGGTGCAACCCCTAATGTAAGACTTGCATCATAACTGTAACTCCTTTGCCTATCATGTGAGCACCACTTAATCGGCGTGCGTCAGTTCTACTCTACAAGTGCGTGTAAGTTGCGTTGAAGTGCCGCGTAATTAAATCGTGAATTTCTCTAAAGTAATTTGTGTAAGTAAAGTGTTTTATAGTGAAATCAAAAGTGGAAATAGTGTTTTATCGAAATCATGCAAAAAGTTTGTGCGGGATATGTGCGTTTAGTGTTATTTTGTGAAAATAAAAATGTGCAAGTGAAAGAAACGCTAGTTAAAGCAAATAGCTAAAAAACCTGCGTTACTCACATAAAATACTCTCGCCGTTAATGCAGGTTTATTTGAAGCACAAGAAACGAAGAAGACTGCGGTATACTTTTGTGCTGAGAACAGGTGAGCCTTTTGCAAATTTTACCATTTTATGTATGCACATACGTACATATGTACTAATTGAAATGTATATAAGAAACTTGTAAATGAATAAGGACTGCTTAAGATTTTGATAACAAAATAAAATGAACTATTCTCGCGCGACTATTTTCAT